CTCGTCTCGTTATGTGTTGGTTTATTGCCTTCTCTGTGTGAGTTTGAGTTTGTATCACGATAGACGCGACGATATTGCGAATTTATCATCCAAAACTGGCTCCCACAGGAGATATCGTTTGGGTGGGGGCAAGCGATATCTACAGTGTAGATATTGCTGCAATGAAATTACATCACAATGCTTTGCTGATCATTGTGACGCCACTGGTTATTATGACGTCACAATCAAATGACATCACTAATGGCTCTGCTACTGAAGCTGTTAGCAGTACTGTTTTACACAGAAGACACTGCTAATTACTGTCAACAAATTGAAAAAGCTGGAAGAATGATGTTGGATGATAAATAAAATCTCACCCTTGTGTCTTTTGATATCAAATATAACAACACTCGTTGATAAAAGTGGCAAAAATCCTCGGCAAGCCTCGAATTTTTCCACTTTTACCAACTGATATATTTGATATCAAAGGACACTTGGGTGAGATTCTCTATATCCCGCAAAACATCCCTCCGCAAAATGTTCTTGGCGCGAGAAATGAACCTGCTGAGTGCAAAACAGATTTTCTTTCCATACATGAGATCGAAATCTGTTTTGACAGAAATATCGGCGGTTCTTTCATTGAGATGGCTATTTCCGACTGTTTCTCAGATCGACCTCGACTCATCAGTCGGCCAACAGAACTTATATATAAGCCTCAGCCACCACCTCCGTAGTGTACAAGAAGTTACTCTGAAGGCTGCTGATAGTAGACGTGCCTAGCCTTCAGCCCGTACGCGTCTAGGTGTATGTCTAGATACGTGTCTAGTCGTGTCCATCAATGGATGTGTTTAAGCCCCTCCCCCCCCCCTCCTCCGATCCATGGATGTGTTAAAGGACCCCCCACCCACCCCCCACCCCCGTCTATCAATGGATGTATGTAACGATCCCCGTCTATCAATAAATGTGTTTAAGGACCCCCGTCTATCAATAAATGTGTTTAAGGACCCCCGTCTATCAATAAATGTGTTTAAGGACCCCCGTCTATTCAGTGGCCATACAGGGTGCAGGGACAGGGACAGTAGGCAGATGGTTGTGTGACAGCAGGAACAACGCCAGCAGCTTGAGAGCAGATTACATCATCACCGACATCTGTGAGCCATGTGAAGTGTGATCATGATAATATGCCCATCAGCGCATTCACCAGATTGTTTAAATAGGATGGATTTACTACCAGTCCTTTGATGCTGTATCTACTACCTCCACGACTGTGTATAAGTAACACATGTATGTGTACACAGAGTCATTGGTGCCAGGTGTCCGCACATACACACAGTCGGGGCCGATGATTGGGATGGTTAGTAAATCATACAGTTATATATGTAAACAGGTGTCTGAGATTTACTGTTGGCCAGAAATCAGAAGCCCTGCGTTTGGCTTGATGATGGTAATCAGATCTAGATCAAGTTTGTTTGATTACAGTCTCCCCAATATTGATAATAATGTAATGTATAGGGAATAACAGTGTGTACTGGTTTGTGGTTTGCTGGTTTGTTTGAGTGTCACAACAGCAACGCCTTATTGTAAGTTCATTAAAACGGGGCAATGACACCTGGAACAACGTCTCCGAAGCTATTTCGGAGGCCACGGTTCGGAGAAGTTCCTGGCGATACCGGGAGGTGTGGGATAGAGTGTTGTGGGCGGGAGCTTGTTGGGGTGTGTTGGTGGGGGAGATAGCGGGAGGTGTGGGAGAGAGTGTTGTGGGCGGGAGTTTGTTGGGGTGTGTTGGTGGGGGAGATAGCGGGAGGTGTGGGAGAGAGTGTTGTGGGCGGGAGCTTGTTGGGGTGTGTTGGTGGGGGAGATAGCGGGAGGTGTGGGAGAGAGTGTTGTGGGCGGGAGCTTGTTGGGGTGTGTTGGTGGGGGAGTGAGATAGCGGGAGGTGTGGGAGAGAGTGTTGTGGGTAGGAGCTTGTTGGGGTGTGTTGGTTGGGGAGTGAGATAGCGGGAGGTGTGGGGTAGAGATTTGTGGAGGGAGTTTGTTGGGGTGTGTTGGTGGGAGAGTGAGATAGCGGGAGGTGTGGGATAGAGAGTTGTGGAGGGAGTTTGTTGGGGTGTGTTGGTGGGGGAGTGAGATAGCGGGAGGTGTGGGATAGCGTGTTGTGGGCGGGAGCTTGTTGGGGTGTGTTGGTGGGGGAGTGAGATAGCGGGAGGTGTGGGAGAGAGTGTTGTGGGTGGGAGCTTGTTGGGGTGTGTTGGTGGGGGAGTGAGATATCGGGTGGTGTGGGATAGAGATTTGTGGGCGGGAGTTTGTTGGGGTGTGTTGGTGGGGGAGTGAGATAGCGGGAGGCGTGGGATAGAGAGTTGTGGGCGGGAGCTTGTTGGGGTGTGTTGGTGGGGGAGTGAGATAGCGGGAGGTGTGGGATAGAGATTTGTGGGCTGGAGTTTGTTGGGGTGTGTTGGTAGGGGAGATAGCGGGATGTGTGGGAGAGAGTGTTGTGGGCGGGAGTTTGTTGGGGTGTGTTGGTGGGGGAGTGAGATAGCGGGAGGTGTGGGATAGAGAGTTGTGGGCGGGAGCTTGTTGGGGTGTGTTGGTAGGGGAGATAGCGGGATGTGTGGGATAGCGTGTTGTGGGCGGGAGTTTGTTGGGGTGTGTTGGTGGGGGAGTGAGATAGCGGGAGGTGTGGGATAGAGAGTTGTTGGCGGGAGCTTGTTGGGGTGTGTTCGTGGGGGAGATAGCGGGTGGTTTTGGATAGAGAGTTGTTGGCGGGAGTTTTTTGGGGTGTGTTGGTGTGGGAATGAGATAGCGGGAGGCATGGTATAGAGAGTTGTGGGCGGGAGCTTGTTGGGTGGGTTGTGTTGGTGGGGGAGTTAGCGGGAGGTGTGGTATAGATTGTTGTGGGCGGGAGTTTGTTGGAGAATGTTGGTGGGGGAGATATCGGGAGGTGTGGGAGAGAGAGTTGTGGGCGAGAGTTTTTTTGGGTGTGTTGGTGGGGGAGTGAGATAGCGGGAGGTTGGGGATAGAGAGTTGTGGGCGGGAGTTTGTTGGAGAATGTTGGTGGGGGAGATATCGGGAGGTGTGGGAGAGAGAGTTGTGGGCGAGAGTTTTTTTGGGTGTGTTGGTGGGGGAGTGAGATAGCGGGTGGTGTGGGAGAGAGTGTTGTGGGCGGGAGTTTGTTGGGGTGTGTGTTGTTGGCGGGAGCTTGTTGGGGTGTGTGTTGTGGGCGGGAGTTTGTTGGGGTGTGTGTTGTGGGCGGGAGTTTGTTGGGGTGTGTTGGTGGGGGAGTGAGATAGCGGGTGGTGTGGGAGAGAGTGTTGTTGGCGGGAGCTTGTTGGGTGGGTTGTGTTGGTGGGGGAGTGAGATAGCGGTAGGTTGGGGATAGAGTGTTGTGGGCGGGAGCTTGTTGGGCTGTGTTGGTGCGGAGTGAGATAGCGGGAGGTTGGGGATAGAGTGTTGTGGGCGGGAGCTTGTTGGGTTGTGTTGGTGGGGGAGTGAGATAGCGGGAGGTGTGGGAGAGAGTGTTGTGGGCGGGAGCTTGTTGGGGTGTGTTGGTGGGGGAGTGAGATAGCGGGAGGTGTGGTATAGATTGTTGTGGGCGGGAGCTTGTTGGGGTGTGTTGGTGGGGGAGATAGCGGGAGGTGTGGGAGAGAGTGTTGTGGGCGGGAGCTTGTTGGGGTGTGTTGGTGGGGGAGATAGCGGGAGGTGTGGGAGAGAGTGTTGTGGGCGGGAGCTTGTTGGGGTGTGTTGGTGGGGGAGTGAGATAGCGGGTGGTGTGGGAGAGAGTGTTGTGGGCGGGAGCTTGTTGGGGTGTGTTGGTGGGGGAGTGAGATAGCGGGAGGTGTGGGAGAGAGTGTTGTGGGCGGGAGCTTGTTGGGGTGTGTTGGTGGGGGAGATAGCGGGAGGTGTGGGAGAGAGTGTTGTGGGCGGGAGCTTGTTGGGGTGTGTTGGTGGGGGAGTGAGATAGCGGGTGGTGTGGGAGAGAGTGTTGTGGGCGGGAGCTTGTTGGGGTGTGTTGGTGGGGGAGTGAGATAGCGGGAGGTGTGGGAGAGAGTGTTGTGGGCGGGAGCTTGTTGGGGTGTGTTGGTGGGGGAGATAGCGGGAGGCGTGGTATAGAGAGTTGTGGGCGGGAGCTTGTTGGGGTGTGTTGGTCGGGGAGTTAGGGTTGAGGTGGCGATGTAGGGTGGTGGAGATGGAGATGTGTTTTTGTGTTTCTGTGCTGGATAGTAACTGTAATTACTGGAGATGGTGGAGGTGGTGGTGGATTTATTTCTGTGTTTCTCAGCTGTGACCATGCACAGATGTATATCTGTATCTGTGTGTTTCTCAGCTGGATGTGGTCTACAGCACCCACCGTGACCGTGCCCAGATGTATGCCTGTATCTGTGTGTTTCTCAGCCGTGACCGTGCCCAGATGCATGCCTGTATCTGTGTGTTTCTCAGCTGGATGTGGTCTACAGCACCCACCGCGACCGTGCCCAGATGTATGCCTGTATCTGTGTGTTTCTCAGCTGGATGTGGTCTACAGCACCCACCGTGACCGTGCCCAGATGTATGCCTGTATCTGTGTGTTTCTCAGCCGTGACCGTGCCCAGATGCATGCCTGTATCTGTGTGTTTCTCAGCTGGATGTGGTCTACAGCACCCACCGCGACCGTGCCCAGATGTATGCCTGTATCTGTGTGTTTCTCAGCTGGATGTGGTCTACAGCACCCACCGTGACCGTGCCCAGATGTATGCCTGTATCTGTGTGTTTCTCAGCTGGATGTGGTCTACAGCACCCACCGTGACCGTGCCCAGATGTATGCCTGTATCTGTGTGTTTCTCAGCTGGATGTGGTCTACAGCACCCACCGTGACCGTGCCCAGATGTATGCCTGTATCTGTGTGTTTCTCAGCTGGATGTGGTCTACAGCACCCACCGTGACCGTGCCCAGATGCATGCCTGTATCTGTGTGTTTCTCAGCCGTGACCGTGCCCAGATGCATGCCTGTATCTGTATCTATAGATGTCTTTGGGCCGGGCTACTTACTGTGCGTTCAACAGGGTCAAAGAACTCGAGTGTGGACTCCACTCCGTCCAACTGCACAGCTACAGTCATCGTGTTGCCCCCCTCTGAAACACAAACACCACCGTCAACATCGTACATCGCTACATCGTACATTACATCGCCACATCGTAAGTCCTACATCGGTTCATCATACAGTCCTACGTCGTACATCGCTACATTGCTACATCACTACATCGCACACAGCCACATCGCACGGTGTTACCGTCATATCATGTCGACATTGCAACGCTGAATAGAGCTAATAAAATGGAAATTAATTTGTTAAGGCATTCCAAAATAAATATTTCATAAATACGTGTGTCAAAATGTGTGTCATCCTTCAGTTTACCTCAACAGTTGTGGACCGAGTCACATGACCTTGAAGCGCCACAAGATCTGGGCCTACTTGCACAAAGCGATCTTAGCGCTAAGACTATTGTAAGCCTATGTTAAAGTATAGGAGTTACGATCATCTTAGCGCTAAGATCGCTTTGTGCAAGAGGGCCCTGGTATCTACTACCTGGGGACGGGGCAAGCACCGATGCTTCAGGGGGAGACAACCCACATGACTACCTGCATCCTCTGTGAGGCGCCACAGGGCGGGAAGCAGGCACCGCTGTGATAAACATCTTCCGTGCAAGGAAGTGATCGTTTACACTTATGGAGTCCCCATGCAGTGTTAATGACTGGGCGGACGAGGGCTGCACTGGGTAGAAAGAGGGGATACGGGATCGAAACAAAACAAGCAGACTGATAATCAGGCTCATGTAAAGGGAGAGATAATAACCTTTGACCTTGAAGTGTTACAGTTGTAAGGTTTGACGCATCTACCCGAGGCAAAATCGTTAACTGGACTTTCAAAGTCAGTTAACGCCTTTGCCTCTGAAGGATGGGTTGGACGTGGCAGAACACCTGACGGGGAGAGAGCCTGGAGAATGTTCACTGAGCTACACAGCGATGTCGTGACGCGACGTGGTGGAGCAGCCAGCGCCTTGGCACCGGACTTACCTCACCCATGTCTAAATGTCTTGTACTATAAAAAGTAGTCGGTAACAGTCGCAGGAATACATAAAAACATGGTATTTTGTTTATACTTGACAATACACTAACCTTGTGAAAGATGTGAGGTTTTAAGTTTTATGAAAGCTATAAGGCAGACATATCAGAGCTAAATATCAATCAGAAGAGGCAAAGAAATCTTTGGACACCCAGGGCGTTCTACACACATGATATACAGCTGCATTGACACAGGGCGTTCTACACACATAATGTACAGCTACATTGACACAGGGCGTTCTACACATATAGCATACAGCTACATTGACCCAGGGCGTTCTACACACATAGCATACAGCTACATTGACCCAGGGCGTTCTACACATAATGTACACCTACATTGACCCAGGGCGTTCTACACACATAATGTACACCTACATTGACCCAGGGCGCTCTGCACACATAATGTACATCTACATTGACCCAGTGCGCTCTGCACACATAATGTACATCTACATTGACCCAGGGCGCTCTGCACACATAATGTACACCTACATTGACCCAGGGCGCTCTGCACACATAATGTACACCTACATTGACCCAGGGCGCTCTGCACACATAATGTACACCTACATTGACCCAGGGCGTTCTACACACATAATGTACACCTACATTGACCCAGTGCGCTCTACACACATAATGTACATCTACATTGACCCAGTGCGCTCTACACACATAATGTACACCTACATTGACCCAGTGCGCTCTACACACATAATGTACATCTACATTGACCCAGTGCGCTCTGCACACATAATGTACATCTACATTGACCCAGGGCGCTCTGCACACATAATGTACACCTACATTGACCCAGGGCGCTCTGCACACATAATGTACACCTACATTGACCCAGGGCGCTCTGCACACATAATGTACACCTACATTGACCCAGGGCGTTCTACACACATAATGTACACCTACATTGACCCAGGGCGTTCTACACATATAATGTACATCTACATTGACCCAGGGCGCTCTGCACACATAATGTACACCTACATTGACCCACCACGCCCTACAGTTGAATTTTCACTACGTCCTACAGTTTTATATCAAAACGCCCCGCAGTTGTATTTATATGACCACGCCCTACAGTTTTGTTTGACCATACCCCCGAGTTTTATATAACCACGCCCTATAGTTTTATATAACGACGCCCCACATTTTAAATAACCACGCCCATCAGTTTTATTTTCACTACGTCTTACAGTTTTATATAAAAACGCCCCACAGCTATATTTATATAACCACGCCCTACAGTTTTATGTAACCACGCCTCACAGTTTACGTAACCACGCCCCAAAGTGTTACAGTTGTAACTGAAAACAATATGTAGCCCCCAGGGCCTAGACCAGTCAGACTACTAACATGTTGGCAAACATTTAGTCGGTGAGCCGGTGCAGGCATGGTTTCTCATCCTTCAGGCTTAGATTTACTCTTCAGTTTTTATAACTATATGCACAACCATACTTTGAAACAAATGCATTTTGTAACAGATTTTGAAATATTTACTTGACTTTTACGAGCCAGCCCACGTCATATTTTTTCAGGAATCCTTATTTGCTGCACTGCACCGCCAGACAGTGTATATCGCCGCAGTGTTCAGCTTCAACAGGTCGTTGTGGCGCTCTTCATACACGCGCCAGATCAGCGGACGAACACGGAGTCATGCAGCTTCTCACTCATTTTCAATGTTCAACCGAATTTGTATTTTTAGCGGATTTCTAAAATTATACACTTTCCCCAAAAATTGGGGGCGAAGAAATATCAGCTTTGAAAAATGATTCACTGATATACATGTGTAGAACGGTTTCGGATTCAAAACCTAACGCCCCAGTACATCCGAAACATGGCATGTGGACCATTCTTCCGTGCTCGTGGTAGGGGTTTTGATACTGCAGTGATAGGACGCCGCTTTGAACCATCAGTAGTGTTGAGTTCCACTTTCCATAGTAAACGCAGGCTCTCTGCTTTTGCTTTAATACAGCGTTTGTGACCAGATGGGATAGGTATCGTCTACAACTTGAGGAACTCCAATAAAGGGCAATTGGGATGCATCAAACTGGTAGCACTCAGCGACAGATAGCTAAAATGTTCAATGTGTCTCAGTATGTGATATGCAGGCTGCCGACACAAAATTAGAAATCACCTGCTTATCTGTGAGCTCGGCGAACACCGTCCAGCCAGACGCCAATGGTGTTTCGAGTGCAGAACTGAAGGAACTGTGGACTGTCTCACGTAATGTTTTCAGAATCCACATCCACTCATGACTTTCTGGATCCGTATGCACGTGTCTGGAGAGGTTCCAAACAAACGTCATGCGAACATCAACGTAATGCACCTGAGATATTCAGGGTAGGGTCTGTAGTTACATGGGGCGGGATCACGATTGACTGCCAGAACGCCCCTATATATTGCCTTTGTAAGGATCACTGGACAGTGTACCGAGACAACCTACTGGCGCAAAGAGTTATGCTGTTGTCGCGCCATGCTGGTCCGCGCTATTTCCTCCAAGACGATAACGCTCGTGCCCACCCGACGTATCGTAACTGACTACCTCTTGCAGCAAAACATCACCAGAATGCAATGGCCAGTATACACCAGTGCTTGCGTGCTTGGTCCTGACCTTTTCCCTGTAGAGCATGCCTGCAGAGCTCGATACAGCGACCTGCTACGTTAACCGGGTCGGGCGCTGCCGGGAGCATGGTCCATTATTGATTACGTCATTACAAACATTCATTGTTGGACTACCCCCCACCCACTCCCACGACCCCTTGGTTGTTTGCTCCCTTTAATACAAAACACCACCATAACGTTCTGTTGATTGTCATGTTACACTTTTTGCCACAAATACTTATTTTGTGCAACTTATGAGTTTCGGGCGCTGTCTGCAGAGCAGGGCATGCTTCCCCTCTTTGCGATTCTCACTGATTTTCAGTGATCCATGTTAACCTTAACAGCAGTAGTTGTACTTCAGAAACCGGTTATGTTCTTGGTTTTATTAGTTGTAATTAGTGTAAGCTTTCTAGTTACGTTCACTTACAATGAATAAATTGATGTGAACTAACCCCATGGAAGACTACCAATACCCATCTGCGTGATACGCTGTTCTGCTGGTGGTGCCTCTACCGATTGCCTGCTGTCAATGTTAAACGTCTTGTCCTGAATGGTTAACGCCGTTCTCTGTGTCCTGCGCTAAATGTTGTGAGATCACTGTGTTCAAAACATGCTGGTCACTCAATTATACAGATGCAGGACACCTCACATCGGCCAGCTAGCACTGTATATATAGATCCAGGACACCTCACATCGGCCAGCTAGCACTGGTGAACACAGATCCAGGACTTTTCATATCGGTCAGCAAGCACTGTTCTAAACAGACCCAGGATAACTCACATCGCTCAGCAAGCACTGCTATATATAGATCCAGGACACTTCTATCAGTCAGCAAGCACTGGTATATATAGATCCTGGACACTTCTATCGCTCAGCCAGCACTGGTTTATATAGATCCATCACACTTCTATCGGTCTGCAAGCACTGGTATATATAGATCCAGGACACTCTAACGGTCAGCCAGCACTGGTATATACAGATGCAGGACACTTCTATAAGTCGACCGAGGACATTGTGTATCGATCAGCAAACACTGGTATATGTGAATCGCCCGAGGACATTGTGTATCGATCAGCAAGCACTGGTATATGTGAATCGCCCGAGGACATTGTGTATCGATCAGCAAGCACTGGTATATGTGAATCGCCCGAGGACATTGTGTATCGATCAGCAAACACTGGTATATGTGAATCGCCCGAGGACATTGTGTATCGATCAACAAAAACTGGTATATGTGAATCGCCCGAGGACATTGTGTATCGATCAACAAAAACTGGTATATATGAATCGCCCGAGGACATTGTGTATCGATCAACAAAAACTGGTATATATGAATCGCCCTAGGACATTGTGTATCGATCAGCAAACACTGGTATATATGAATCGCCCG